AAGCTATACAAAATCGACATATATGCATATATATCTCGACGTAATGAGGTTATGTTCCCGCTTGATGGTGGAGACTGTCCGTCCAGCCCGAGGCGTTTTGCAAAAAGTGGCTCTCCGCCGCCGCCTTGCGGCCACCAGGCGCTCGGAAAGCGTCCACCGGAATGAAAACAATGCTCGAGTGACACCTCTAATTCCGTCCCTTGAATTTTAGATCCGCCAACTCTAAAGCCGCCGAAACAAGTTTAATTCGCACGACGCACCTCGTCCGCCTACCCCCCCTCGTGAGAAAATTCCTGGCCGCACCTCTCCCGCCGCCGCCACCGTCCACGTGACACGCGCCGGTCCGAAAATAAAACGGAACTGTCACTGCGAGCCATTTATCTTAATCCCAAGACTATGAAAATCATAAAGCAAAATCCGGTAAACGACAATTCGGTTTTTGGGTCGACCGCGACGATTCGTTACCGGCGAACCGGTCGATTTTTATTTAATTTGATTAATTGGCGGTGGCACGTTACGCGGGCGGCGTATTTATTTCCATTTATCAGGCACGAATTAAAATAAGGACTGATGATAGAGGGAGCCGAACGCATACCTGAGCGAGCCAATGAACTCCGAGAAACCCCGGCAGGTTTTGTTTTCGAACGTATTTTTAGATCGATCTCTCGAAAAGTCGACGAGGTTTCGCGCGGCGTCATTTTTTCTCATTACGGGTTGAAAAATGTTTTCGTGGTAGGCGGGAGGGCGTGCAGCCGAGAGTCAACTACCAGTTGATGGGGCGAGCGGTGGATCGAACGGCTTGCCCTCCGCTATCTTATCCGAGGCGTCCGACCTGACGAAGATATTTTTCGCAGGAAAGTTTTTCCTGCTGCATACTTCCTAATTAGTGCGGACGCTTCGGAACGAGAGCTATGCCAGGAAGCTCAGCTGACCCGAAGGTCGCTGCCTACCCGTTGATGCGGCGCCAGACTCATCTTCGCAGTTTTTTTTAATGAAACCTGCCAGAAGTTATACTTTACACAATTTGTAAAATGTTCGAGAATATAAAGGCCGGGGGGCATTGTTGTTTTTAAAATCCAGCGCTCGGGTTACGTCTTCGGCACCGACAAAAAATGTTTACTGGATTTGCGTTGTTCGGCATTGTTCCATTCGGTGAAACCGCCAGAATAAAGACTTTACATTCAAACGAGCAATTTTCTTTTTAAACGAAACAATGAACTGACGCGGCCGATGTTTGCTAGGTGCTCTCCTTCGCACATAAAAATCATAAATCATTCCACAGGAGGTAAAATAATAATGCAAGCGTAAAACTATATTTCGTCCTGTTTGTACCAAACCTGTTATTATTTGTCGCCGGGGGTGTATTTCCATGATTGATTCACTCGGAATTAATGTTTCACGAAAAAAGCCAATCAATATCGGAAAAAAGCGGACCCTCGAGAGCTTTCACTATAAATACAAGTATTATTTGATGGAAAACATGTCTCCAAAAAAAGTTAGACGTGTTGAGGCTGTTATTTCATCAGCGACACCGAGATTTATTTTTCTGTACTTGTGTACGACACGCTGATCATTAACTCCGGTCCAAGGTTATATCTTGCTAGATTTGTATACCTCTAAAATGTTACTATTAACACCATATCCAAGGAGCGAAGATGACCGCGGACCGGTGTTAAGGTGTCGGATTAGTGAACGCCCGACCTGGATCGCAGTTGAGGTTCTCCGGTTTGACCAAAACTTCAATGTTTTGGGGTCTTTCATTTGTAATATCCATGCAGCGATAGCTGAAAGTGCTAAAGGGCTTGTAATTCGGCCAAGTATGTTACCAACTTTCAATAATAATAATGATTATTATATGATTGCTATTTCTACAGTATCGGCATTTAGTGGTGATTTTTGTGATTATTTTTGGATGCAAAGCAGATGTTTATTTTTGCTGTCGTGTACTTCGTCGGTAATATTTTTCCGAGAATGCCCTCGGCGGCGATCCACATAAACAAATCTAGTTAAGCACAAACGGAACTTGTTATTCTTCGTCTGTAGTGTGTTTTGCATAAATGACATAAACACGGCCCGATCCATAATGGATGCCGGATCAAAAGAATGCCAACTTCAAAGAAATGGTATTTCAGGAAAAGTCCTCGTTAGCCGCCCAAAGCAAGAAACTAGTGACGATGTTAATCGCCGTCTACGGTCGGTATTTTAATTGTTAATTACGATTATGGAAGTTGGGCCTCGGTCGCGCTGAATATTCATCAAAACGTAAAAATCCCTCGCGGATTAATCAAAGAATAAAAGTTTCCAAGATGAAGAAGCAAACAACAGAAATAAAGAGGTCTTCCGGGGGCCTGATGTAATCCAGAATTTGCATCTTCGAATTAAATATATACTTAATTGTATTATCCGGCGGAAAATTCGGGTCGTATTAAAAATTTAATCAAACGGGAATTAATTAAAATTGACGAAATCAATTTAATTGACTGCGACGTGATTTTTTCCCGGGGAAATTGTCGTTTTTGTTTATTTTGGAACTCAAACAGTGTCGTATTTGCATATCGGTCCCCGTATAACGAAATACTAATTAAAGACGCGACTAATTTGAAAGACAAAGTCGAGATTCGTGTAATATCGCGAAAAATAAGCCTCGGTCTCTGTCGAGCTTTCGCAGTTCGTGAGGCGATCGTTTCTTTGATTTATAATTTAAAGAACGAAGAAGGAGATTTCGGACGGTTTGCTTTAAAATCCTCGGGGTCACCGTTGGGATGATTAAATCCGCTCGAGAAAGTTTTTTCTACTTTGGAAGTTCGGACATCGACCGAAAGGAGCACTTGGTTTGCAAAACCTGTAATTGCTCCCTGCCGGTGGGAGGGTGTTTAGAAGCTAATCAAATGCGGTAACACCGAAGGGATCCCAAAGAGAACGTTGTGTGTAAAGAACATGAGCCAACTCGCAAAGTCTACATTAATTATTTAAAGTTTAAATAGGCTTTCAAGACTTGCTCTGAAAATAAATAAGATGTCTTGTATAACAACCGCGGGGACGGGGCGTGGGCCGGCGCCGCCCCTTTATTATCAGCAGCACCTCGCGACTTCATCAACGAAGTATCCGATGCAGTCGTTCGTTCGATTCGTCGAACGGACGAATGCATCGCTCCGAATCCATCAATCCCTTGTTATCTCCAAATGGAACCATATCCTAATAGCTTCCCCGTCGAACTGTTGTTGTTCTTTTCCGTGTCATCAATCCACGCCGAAACTTATTCGTTTCTTATAGACGCGTTATGATGCTTTACACCCTCTTCTCTACCATCTCTCTCCGAGATTTGTTGCCCTTCGGTCTAATCACTTCGAACAGGAATCCGAAATCGCAAGTTTTCTTCATTCCGGATGAGGCAATCTCGCTAAGTGATCGTGTATTTTAGTGACAGGCCGGGAGGGTTAGTTTAGGTTTGACCGTCCCAGGTGAATTTGCTGTTTACTTGGCGGGTCACATCGTGGTGTAAACTTGGCCGCGGTGCTTAGGGAAAATCCCAGATTTTTTATTTGTCTATGAGTGTCGTTCGTTTATTGCCCGCTCGATAACACACAACAAACACTTTCAATATTATATGGACCGGACGAGGAAACAAATCAGATAAAATTTTATCGCGGGGGGTTTATGGTGATCGCGACGCGGTTTTACGGCCACCACGTAGATGCATTCTTTAATAGTTGGCTTTTTTTCGCGTCTACACGTATTAAAATCACAACTACTGTTTCCACAATTGGCGCAGTCGGTGGGATCGCCTTTCGATTTTAGTTCGAACGTCTAAATCTTTAACGCCTCTCTTTAGGTTTAATCGAACTTTGAATATCGGCCCGAGTTGGCCGCTTAACGTCATAATCACAGCCGCCGCTCCCCGATTACGTTTCGAGTGGTAATTTGGTGTTTGCTTGTTGTTGAATGGAAAAAAAATGGCGTCGATTATGCAGGGTGTCATTCTGTCGATACAACACTGGTGGCGAACAGTGCGAAACAAAGACAGCCGTGTTGTTTAGGCACACTTGATTTATTTCGTCTGTACATTTACAGTAATCGAATTGCTAAGTCTACCAATGCAGGGGGAAATAAGCTATTGATCAAAACGTTTTTGTTCGTGGAACGATTTTTTCGGGCGAGAAGTCACAGACCTTTTAAATTGGCCTCCATTTTCGACTTAAATGCTTTTAATCACTGGGAGGGCGCGAGGAGTCGGGGAGAATGCCAAACAATTAAACAAGATTTTGTGATTTAGAGACAGGCCGATCTGGTTCCGAGAAAAAAGGAGCGCCGAAAACAAGAAACAGTCCCTATAAAGCATCGTCACAAAGGGGCGTTATCACGACGCCGCCTCCCAAATTTTCTTAGAACTTGTTAGTATCTCGCATACGGAAAAATTGCGTTCATAACATACTCTATAGTCACCTTGCTACAACTCGTCCTCGTTTAGGCAAACATTTTTCCATTCCTCCAGCCAGCCGACACCAGGCATATTACAAAGAGCATACGGTATTTGTGCCGAAGAACCTGTATGTATCCGCATGCCTGAGCTGTCACTGAAAAACCCGGTAAATTCAAACGTAGGTGTTTACACTTGTCATTTAAAAAATGTGGCAAATTGAAATATATGTAATCTCATCGAATTACCAAAAGGATTAACCCCCAGTTATCACAACAGAATTTGTATCGAAATGATAAATATAATTCATAATAAGTTGATCATCGTTTGTGTTATAACCTGCCTTAAAATTTAATATTAATGTACTTTGGGCCACACCAAAAACTGTATAATCATGCTTTCCTCCAGACATACCTACTTGCATTGAATAACCAACTTAAGTATGTGATTATAATTGTATATGATTGTTGTGTCTTTTACCCAACATAATGAAACTTTAATAATACAACTTTAGTTTTTTTATTAATTAATGTGCTATTTCAATCAAGCGTAACATACAAAAAACGCATAAAATAAAAATGTATTTGTAAAAAAATTGTATTTGCTTTATAGAAATAATCTGAATCAACAAAAAATACAACAACAGAATTCATCTTTACCTAACAGAAAAATACATAGTAATAGTAGCAGTAATAAAAATTATAATTACTAAATTGTAGAAATAAAATTCTCATCCTATTATTTATAAAGGTGATTCTATGAGGACCTATTAATAACCCATGTCACAAAAATCCACTCATTTCTCTAGTTTTTCTGTAACCAATCAGTTCATAATAATGTTGCTTCATATTTGTTCACTTACGGGATAATATTGCTGCGTCTCTTGCACTCTTTTCTTTGTTAAATTCTTCTCGTTTTTTTTTCTTAACCATCCATCGATATTGCTCATAAGTTCTTTAAAATCATCTATGTTAAGTGCATTCAAAGTATTATTAAGTGACTCCTGCTTTAATTTTCGAAAAGTTTCATCATCCAATGGCAACGGTGTTTACTGATTATTTTCTATTAACATTTTTACTTCTTCATTTTTCTGCATATCACAATAATTGTGTTTATTTTCTGTTTCCATTAATACTCTCTTGCAATAATTATGTTCTTCTAGATCTGTAAAAGTGTCTTTAGTCTGCCCTAACCCACATTCATACCGTTCCCTTTCAAACAAAGCAACCATATGCATGTGCTTGCATAAATTATTTTTTATCATAAACTCAGGACACTGGCATTTGTAATGATGCAAACAGATTTGGCAAACTACACAATACATGAGCCTACAATCATTTCTACACACTCTGTCTCCATACACAACCTTATAAATCTTATTGGAATTAGATCTTACTGAAAACTCTCCAAAACCAACTTCCTCCACCATATTTTGTAAATTTTCTGCTTTTCTATGTCTGTCTCTTACAATTCTGCTTTGATACGTTTCTGTAGAAGGTCTTTCTGTTTCTATTATTCTGTTCCATTCCTTGTCTTCCACTACTCTGTCTAACATATCCAATAACTTCTCTATTGTATTATTTCTCTTCTTATTCAACTCATCATATTTAATAAATTTGTTCAGACTTTCAATTGCCATATTTGTATTGATCCCAGCATTTAGTCTGTAACAGTGAGCCCACATTTTAATACGTTCCATATTCTGAAAATAATGTTTTTTTAAATAATTCAAAAAATTAATTTCCCCCGCTTCAAAAAGTATCTGAAAATAACTGTTGTATAGCTCTTTAAATTTATCTTCATTTGTTTCCTTTAAAATTTTTCCCATATCGGTCTTCATATTTTTCTTCAATTCTGTATTTTTTAATTTTGCTTTGCCTTGAATGTTCCAATTTTTTATAATAATAATAATATGCCAACTACACAATAAATGTCTTGGTTTTGTTTCCATATCGTTTATCCATGCATTATAATATTTTGGGTCATCATCTGTCATAAAATAGGTGGGACATAATTTTTCACCAACTTTTTTCTTTAAAGCATCTAAAAAAATTTCAAAAATTAACTGATCTTTTCTACTAGACACTAAAAATGCAACGGGAAAACCAACACCCCTATCATCTTTAACTAAAACTGTTGTTAACTCCCGTCCTCTAATATTTGTGTTGTGCGTCCCATCCATACAAATAATATTTGTGAATTGTTTAATTTAGATTCCATCACCTGGTTCATAAAGCCCACTGCAAAATCTTCATCTCTAAGAATGGAATGCCTTTCCCCTACAAGCCAAGCTAAGCATGTGCTAAACAACCAACACCACCAACCACAATCTACATGCATGAATATTTCTCTTAATTCACAGATTTTAAACAAAAATTTTACCTAATTGTAAAAAACCACATGCTACCAAAATAATAATCATATACCTTACCAATTTGTTTAAATAAAAATCCATAATTTTGGCCACTTTGATTCCATTCATGCAAAACCTTTATTGTCGTTGCAGCCATATCATCAGCATTTCTAGTTTTTGATAAACTTCGACTCATGTTTCTCAAATCCATTTTTGTTAATAAGTGTAGTCTTTCCAATTTATTCCCTTTAATGGTCCGAGCATCTTCTAATATTCTCTTTTTACATACTTCATTCTTCAATTTTGAATCAATTTCTTGTTTTTCATTTTTTGTCAACCCTTCATATCTCAGCTCATCTTCATGTCCTACATGTGTTTTTATATATTTAATTTTCACTGTTCCTATAAACAATTGATGCAATTAATATACAGTAAAGTGAGCACATAGATAACATACCTTCATCAAAAATTTTTGCAGTGATTCTTGATGGACAAGTACCACAGATTTTCTTGCTACCCCCTGCCTTTGGAAATCTCTTAAATGCTTTACTTTCATAGCCTAAAATGACCAATAATACAATATATTCTTAACAAATTACATGTACAATGTACCACTGTAGCTTCTGTTACAGTTATAATATATCAGCTGATAGGGGTAACGCACATCTTTCTTTTGCTTTCGACTAATATATTTAACATCTCTTCGTTCTTCGCAAATCCAATTTTTAAAATCTTCATGACTTAGTATCAATTCTTCTACCTCTAATGTTATATTATGCTTTATTTCAAAATGAGTTTTGAGTTCTTCATGGGATTTCAGATTTCTCTCTGGTTCATCCCCACACATTGGACAAAAAATCTTTGTTTTGCAAATCCTACCAACACTTTGATCACGGTGAAAACCCCTAAAATGTCTATTCCTGGAAGTAACAAAATTAAATTGTTTGTCACAGACAGAACACTTTATGGATTCCATTCTGGAAGAATATAGAAAAAGCGCGTTCAGACTATAGTGACAGCAATTAATGATCTTTTGTCTTTCCCGTCTTTTTGTAATGACACTAGGCTTAGGGATTTCTTCAGGCCAACTGTTTTTCGAAGTTGGCAGTCCTGAATGTTCTTATGCACAAATACCGTATGCTATTACAAAGGGGACCTACTTTTCGAAATTCTAGGAGTCATGAAACGTCTAGACCCTTTATAAAATTTGTGTAGCTTACTGTCGGTGAAAAGGTTATACTTACAACCGCCCGAATGGAAGATCTTTCTCTTGCGGCAATACAGCGAGCGCTAATTTGCGTTATTAAGTCGAACGTTGTTCCGCCGTGTCGGGGCCAAGTTTGAGAGTGGCTGTAAGAATCGCTCCCGAGATGTTGATCGGTTGTCGTAAACCTTAACATTTCGCATTATGCCTCGGAGGACGTCGGCGAGTTTAAAACAAAGTTTTACGGCTCTATACAGGTTTATGCCGGGTTAATTTGTGTCTGGCAGTAAAATGCGCGGCAAAAATGCGTCAGGAGGTGAGCCCAGATAGAGCATTAGAGGGAAGTGGCCCTCCAGCACTAATAGAGTCCCGGTAGCGGCGGGGCCTGCCAGTTAAAATCTCGACATTGACAAAACGGCAAAACTAAACGGCCGCAGTTCGCTCACGTATTCGACGGCCCTCTCTGCATCTAGGAGGCCGTAAATTGAGCGGCGGCCTCATAAAGCAGCTTTAGACACTATCGGGTGAACATCAGCGCTACGTGGCTTACATTGGAACTATGCATATAAGGATATCACGGAGCCGAACCACCTGAATGGCTCCACCATTCAATACTCAATTATGCAGGACGCGCAGGACCTGCTGATTTATGAACTTGTTCCACCTTTCGGAAAGTCCGCGTTCGTTAATAACCGTTGGAGGACCGAGGAAAAAGCGCAGTTTTATGGGCACAGTTTAGCTGCGAGTGTATGAAAACGGAATTAGAGTCGTAAAACGGGAGATTGTATAATATACAATGTCCAGTTCATGGAAGAAGCCTCATAAGGTCTCACCCCACGAGGATCGGGGGCAGCTGTTATCTGCTAAGGGGGCCATTTCGGGCCTAGTCACGCTCGCAGAGGCCTCTAGTGGCTGCGCTTCCACTCGTATTAGCTGCGCACAACATCCCGCTCCATGAATATTACAGGCACGGACTGTATGCCTTATTACTTCATACAGCCTGCTGCTTAATAACTTAGTTTACATTTTAAATTAGCGAAAAATGTCGCCGCCAAATAAGACGGACCCCGGATAAATAACCCTCGAAGAAATAACTTAAGATCGCATCCGCGCGACTGCGCCAAAAGCACGTACCACCTCGAACGTACGTTTTACCGCTCCAGTAGAACTCGCATTCGAATAAATCGCAGTTGTTAGCTTTTCAGGACGACCTTGTTACAGTTATCAGCATTTTCCGATACAGGTAGCTCTCGTGGAACGATATTAAAAATGCAACGAAAATAACAACCCCATCAGACAAATCGGAACTCTCAGAAGTATCGTTCCGCACGGTAAATAGCGACTTGCATGCGACACATTGCACTTTGGATCCTGAGAACTTCCTCCCGGGAGCTCGAATTAGGTCGAAATCTCAACACGTTAATGATGGTGAAAATTTAAAACACTCGGATGCGCAAACAGTACGTGCCTCCGATTTTATCGCTCATTCCGCGGTGTAGATGCAAACAAACCACGATGAATCGATCAACATTATTGTTGTTTTTTCCATCGCCATCAGCCCTAATGGTACATCATAATTTCGGTTAAATGTCGAAAAATGCTGCTCGAAATACTAACCGAAAACACGATGAAACATGCTCGTAATTAACGATAGCAGACCGATGTCATTAATTATGATCCTGAAACTGAAACCCTGTCAAAAATGCAAGAGTGAATTGTGTTTATTGACTCGCCGGAGTTAATTAAATGTCAGCAATTTACATTATTCGTCTTGAGTAAGCGAGTGTGAGCATTTCGATGTTTGTTCAGGTTAATTAACTTGGAAGCGCGATTTTTCCGATAAAGGGGCGGCCGACGCGTGTTTGAGTTACGAGCGGTCGTCGGGCTGGGGAAAAGATCAATTATTGTTATTACCGACATATGAATACGTACATTGTTTTTTACGAAGTGACAATCATCGACGGGAACGAGATTATTTATAGCACCATTACAGAGCAGACGGAAAATTAATAATAATTACAAACCAGAATTCGTTTCGATAAATACAGGGCAACTGTTTTCCATGTATATAATTTCCAGTATTTGGGCACAGCAATACGGTGACGAGGTCTTGCTTTTGCCCCGGATTTGTGGATAAAGTTGCGTTGGTGAAAAATCAACACGTCTAACGTTACGCGTCTTTTTGTTTTTATTTGGGGCTCGTTCTCCCGTTTCCTGCCGAAATTTTAATGGCACAAGTTAATGGCCCGAAGTGCGGCCCTCTATTAGTTTTATATCGGATTTCCGGCGGCGGGCTGCCTATTGCTCTAATCCAATTTTAAATTGACGTGACCTGAAAGTGGCGTAATCTGAAATAATGAGGGTAACAAGAGATTATCCTTCGGCGGATAAAAACGTGAAGAGTCTTTCAGTCGCATCCGAACGGGGTCAGTTAAGTGTCCGGCGGTGGGAAGGATGCTGCAGCAGCTATTTTCTTGATTGTTCAATTGCGGCCGCTCCAGGTCGATTTTCGGAATTAGTCCGCCTTGGACTAATTGAAAATGTTGCGGACGGCGAAATTACCATCCGATAAATCTGCGTCTGAGGCATTATCCTGCTTGTGACCTGGATTAAATCGGCGTCGATGCGGACAATGGCGGAAATCATTTATATGTAATAAATATTCGGATGTGATAATGGGATTGTGAGAGGACCCGTGTAAATTCGGTCCAGCTTTATGCCGGACTAATTGTTAAATCTAATAGATCGGGGTGCAAATCAGATGAGTGGCTGTTCTATCACGAATTATTTACACTGGATGCGCAGCCGGCTGCCTCGAGATACGAAAATTGTGCTTCACAGAGATCCAGACTTGCTTTGAGGCTTCGTCTGTGTTATTTGTTTTGTCGAAAATTAGCTTTGTGTTAATGTGTTTGTGTAATACTTCATATGTGGGAGCCAGGCCGGAAAACGACAGGAATTTATTCGATCGGGGCAGGGGAGGCGGAAATGCGCGATGCACGTGCCAGATGGGGTTTATCGTTGCAACCGTTTCTCAACAATTCATGGACTTCTGAGGTACAGAGCAACGCTGCGCTATTTCTCTTGATGTAGATAACACTATTTCGCTTTCAGCGGATCTGCCGAGGAAATTTCGCCCTTTTAAGGATGCTCCGCGTTAGCTAACAGCAGAATACATGCACTTTAATCTCCACTAGCTCCACAAAGGGAATCCGCACGTACCAGAAACGACGGCGGCGAACAGCGAGAACGAACTCCAAGACGCCAAGTAAAAACAGAATCAAGGTCATACTAGTGTAATTATGTTTTCGTCACCAAAAGACAAAGATTACCCGCGAAAGTCCAAGAACAAAAATGTTCTCAACGACACGAACCCGTGAGAATTATTATTGACATATCTAAAAAATTGGTCTAAAGAGTTTAGACAGTACTTCCCTCGCTGTCGGAAACTTGACGACTGCATGCCTATTGTGTTTTTTTTCTCATTACATTTTTGTAGTGGGAATTTAAAAAAAAATTGCGATGACGTCATCAACATTTTTGCAAGGACACGTATATCAGTTGGGATAGATGTAGTGTAATACTAAGAATAAAATTGTTATATTCTCAAATTTTCGGGAAAATGAATTGGGTCGTTTGAATATTGATTTGTAATAATCAATAAAATAACGAAACAATTTACTCACGTATACCTACGTATCAGAGGCAACTGAAAATCGTGTATGTATAAACATTCTTAGTTTAAGATGACAGGCGTAACAGCATACGTGAGAGCCAAACAGAGAAACTGTAAACAAAACGACCGTCGGTTTTATTGCTTCGACTTCCGCTTATTATATAAAACATTGGGTTTTATTTTAATTCTTGACGGTGAAATTCACAATTGGTTGATTATAAACATGTCTATTTCACATTCGCGGAATCAAGTGAACGCATAAAACAAATGCAGGTCTGTAATGTTAAAGTCGATGTAAATAAGCGTGCTACCCTTATGTTTCAACCGAGTTTTTCCTTTAACAAATTTTGTGTCTACCAAATTGGGTTGGTTGGGGTGTAATACTAATAATAAGTGTTGCCTTTAATTTAATCAATAAAATAAATTGACTTCATTAATTTTTTTGAACCACCTCTTAAGAAAATCTAAAAAATATGAATGGAATGATAAATCACAAGTACAAACTCATCATATTTTTTGCATTTTAGATAGGATTTATTCAGCAAAATTTAAGGGTGACGTCATCAATTTTTTTAGGAGAGATGAACAAATACATTTTGAACAAAAGTTTGCCATGCTTATAATAACTTTAAAATATTCCCAAGATTTCAAAGCATTCGGTTTTGTAATTCCTGATTAAATCGATAAAATAAATTCACGTCTTCATTAATTTTTTTGAGTCACCCTGCATATGCAAATCCAAAAATATGAATGGAATGATAAATCACAAGTACAGACTCATCATATTTTGTACATTTTAGATACGATTTATTCGGCAAACTTTTGAGCTGACGTCATCAGTTTTTTGTAGAAGATAACCAAATATATTTTGACTAAAAATTTATTATGCTCTTTATAACCTTAAAACATCTGCAAGATTTCAAAGCATTCGGTTTTGTAGTTCCTGATTAAATCAATAAAATAAATTTACGCATTCATTAATTTTTTTGAGTCACCCTGTATATGCAAATCGAAAAAATTTGAATGGAATGATAAATCACAAGAAGAGACTCACCATATTTTGTACATTTTAGATATGATTTATTCGGCAAATTTTCGAGCTGACGTCATCAAGTTTTTGGAGGGGATAAGCAAATATATTTTGACTAAACATTTATTATGCCCTTTATAACCTTAAAACATCTGCAAGATGTCAGAGCATTCCGTTTTGTAGTTCCTGATTAAATCAATAAAATATATTTACGCATTCATTAATTTTTTTGAGTCACTCTGTATATGCAAATCCAAAAAATATGAATGGAGTGATAAATGACAAGTACAGGCTCATCATATTTTGTACATTTTAGATATGATTTATTCGGCAAACTTTCGAGCTGACGTCATCAAGTTTTTGGAGGGGATAAGCAAATATATTTTGACTAAACATTTATTATGCTCTTTATGACCTTAAAACTCTGCAAGATTTCAGAGCATTCGGTTTTGTAGTTCCTGATTAAATCAATAAAATATATTTACGCATTCATTAATTTTTTTGAGTCACCCTGTATATGCAAATCCAAAAAATATGAATGGAGTGATAGATCACAAGTACAGGCTCATCATATTTTGTACATTTTAGATATGATTTATTCCACAAACTTTTGAGCTGACGTCATCAAGTTTTTGGAGGGGATAAGCAAATATTTTTTGACTAAAGATTTATGATGCTCTTTATAGCCTTAAAACATCTGCAACATTTCAAAGCATTCTGGTTAGCAGATTAAAAATTAAATTTCAAAATGTTGTTTTATAATTTTGATTTTTTTTCCAAAAATCTGGACGTTTCGGGTGAAAAGTCGATTCAGAGTTGTAAACTACATGTGTAGGACTATGTTATTTTATACAATTGAAAACCCATTTACTATGTACAATTTTGAAGTGACGTCATCGCATTAGTGGTGGGGATGATTAGACAAATTTTGGTTAGCGTTTTACCATCTACATGATATTCTTAATATAAGTACAAAATTTCACAACAATCGGTCGAGTACTTTCGGAGATTATCTGTCTAATAAAAATCCGGGACAACAGACGGACAGACGGACAGACGGACGGACAGACAGACGGAAATGGGAGACCTATTTCTTCGTCTTCTAGGGGTCATGAAAGATCGAGAAAACGTAAAAGTAGAGAGTCGGCCGACGGACTCGATTACAATACTTCCTTTGCATACGCTCGGGAAGTAAAAAACGCGGTTGAAAGTTGAGTGCCCGAGCCCGCTCTCCGCATTTAATTTCGCTCCCGCAAACTCCAATCCGAGCACAACTTTTTCCTTCTCCACCTCGACCGTGCCCTCTGGAAACAATCCCACTCGCCAAATTACCGCCTTAGTTGCGGGCTTCGCGCCGCCCGATGCCCACAGAATAGCACACCACAAACAGGAGACGTGAGCAATTTAATTCGGTTGCTCGTCACCACTAAATAATGCGGTTAATAAAACCGAAACGAATGGTTAAAGCGCCGCTAACTCGATCGGTTAACGTCGGCGGCAGCTTCCGAATGTTCCGGTCTGAGTGACGGGCACGTCTTTAACGTCAGATACTCTTGAATATTTTGTTTGTGAATCGGGTAGACAAAAACCGTATTCGAATAAGCACGAGAAAAGTTGGACAAAAATCAGAGTTCGAGGCGAAGTGGACTTTATCCCACCGACTGCGCCACTCACTAACTGGAGGCAGAAATGCAGTTATTGCGTTCGACTTCGGACGTTATGACACGCGATCTCTTCGTTACGAGGGCTGCTTTTATCTGAAGGGTGATTAGGCGCGTTTCTATTTCTTGTAAGAGGCGAAATGGGGTGGTTATGGGCAGGGTTGGGCATTAGTAGGCCGGACTCGAACTCGATATTAGCTTTCGAGACAGGGCTAATATCAGTAACAGGCCGAAAAAGCCTGCAGAAGTGAAAACTGCACCGTAGGTTATCCGGAATGGCAGATTGAGTTTTCTACCGACACCCCGAGCACATAAAAGGAACATCGAGAGCAGTTATTAGTGTTAAGGAGTTTTCCGCGTATGATGAGCATAGGAATTAGTGTTTCGTTGAACGAATGTCGGCCTTAAAGAATCAGTAGCTGGCATTCGTTTGAGGACTAAGCCGCCGCCTGTCTGACAAATTGACAACATTAATTTTCGAGATTCCGCCGACATTTTGTAAATCAGCATAAGTTCGGTACCGTGGGATTAGGAATTCGCGAAAAGCTTGTTTCTGTAATATAATTTAAGAAGATTGGACGGTTTTAAATCGGCTTAATGTTTTGTAATTTCGAGGAAAACTCGCAGGATGTATGGAAAAACTCCCTTTCACTTATTCATTCTTCGCGGACGCACGAAACGTCGAAAGTAATCATATTAAATTTCTCAAAAAAACCCTTATTTATCTCGAAGCTCCGTCGTCGCGGCCTCGCCACCGCATCAAGATTTTATTACAAAAATTATCATAATGCTATGTACAAATTTAGCCGTGTCAAGAGCAAGAGATCGGGCTCAAAAGCTCCTCTAACCGTGCAGATGCGATACAAACTAATTTATTTAATCTGAAAAAGCTCAGTCTACCGTGTAAAAAGTGGAACGATATGCAAATATTTTCTTTGTAATATACCAAACTATGAGATATTAAGGTAACAAATTTACATGAGAATGGAATAAATTGAGGGGCCGCGCACTCGCCACCCCCGGCTCCATCAGAATGATGGATCGTGCCGAAATCACCTAAATATGAATGAATTTTTATTGTCCACGCTTCGGAAACAAAAGCCACGAGAGGAGCCACTTAATCACCGCCCCCCCGGCGGTGGCTCATTTAATAAGAAAAAGGGAAGCACGCCGCTGGGGCCCTCCGTAATCACGTTATATTAGAAATCATTCGTCAATTTTGACACTTATAGCAGGGCGGGGTGGCGGCGATGTCAAGTGTATTAAAATGCTATAACTCATCGAAGCCGCGCGTACTTTTATACCGCCAACAAGCTCGGCCCTGATGAAAACGATCCGCCAGATCGAAACGTCGATGGCGGGCATTAAGGATAATGTACAGTCGGTGTCCAATTTTGGTCCGGATGCGATGAGACTGTAACCGTTCCGACAATCACGTCGGGGATTCCCGGCGGACGAGTTTTACTAACATTTACTGAGAAACCTAGAATTTTCTCGACGTACCGTTACAACAATGGGTCTTACATTTCTCGCCACAACGTATGGAAGCGCTTTAACCTTAAAAGTTCGTAGTTTACGTGTTGGCAACACAATACAAGTGGCACTTCTTATTTCTGTCATTTCAATTCTCGCCACTTTAAAACCGTGCTCTGAAAGAGCCGAGATATAATCAAAACTGCTATTTCAAATTGTCACAAACGGCTAAACCTTGCGGAGCAAACGAGGGCAAGCATTAAATATTTACTCTTCCGCGTTTGGCAGCAACAATGCCCGTAACATGAATATTTTCGATATTTTTTTATGTTCTAATTTGGGGTCAGCGAGAGCGCCACTTTTTCTTATAATTTTTTTCGGCTTTGACTCTCACTCGCCGCCCTTTCCGGCGTATTGCGTAACGGCCCTTTAAATATGCAGCGACCCATCAATATTCAATCGCACGGTGTTTCAAATTTAGCCCAGCCCAATGATCTCTCGGAGTTATTTAAAATAAATCGACTTGTCCGACTGCGCCATTTGTTAAATAGTTAAAGCGGGTCCGAGTCCGGTCGGTCCGGAATATTCCCCGATATTTATAAAACGGGGTGACATTTTTAATGGATGCATCACCCCGGGTCACAATTTGGGCGAACGCGAAATATTTCACCGCTTTAATCAAACTTCGGCGATTGGCCTCGACCCGAAGTTTCTTTTATTCGATTCCGGGCCGATTCAAATTACCCGGAAGCCGCAGCTTAAACAAAAACGGGTGCGAGCAATAAAGTGAGAGTCTTGAGAGCTTAATGCGAGGTGGCATCTGTGGTTGGGCCGCGAAACCACCCGGAAAGCGATAATAGATTTTTCCGTGATCGAGCAAGGACCCGCCCTTTATTACCTTGGGAATTTTTAATTAATTCGGCGCTCGGGGGAGGGTAATTATGGCCTTATTTGCATTATTAGATCGCTAATTTCTTTGAGGCGAAGCGGCGCTTTATGCTCCAGACTTTAATTAAACACTCTAGTCACCTGCAATTTTGCATTAAATTCAAATTAAGTTTTCATATCGTCGCGCTTCCCGTAATTTAACTTGATTAAACCTTACGAGGGAATTTTTCGGAAAGCGCGGGCTTTTTGAAGTCGTTATCGACCGGAAACCGGTTTTAGTTTGGCGGGAGTCCGCGGCGCCTCCGGACGGAGCTGCTCCCTGGCGGCTCGTAGCGGAACCGGCGCGATCCGACGAACCGGTCCCTGTAAAGTTTACAGGAACGGCAAGCAAATTCTGTAATATCCGCTCGACTTCCAACCGATTTAACTTTCGAGATTGGGAACTTCCCCGAACAAACCTCGTTACCGCGAGTGTTCCGCTTCTCACTTGTTTGTTTTGCAGGTAAGTCGAGGAGTCCCCGGAGCTACCCGGTGATGGTTTTTATTCATGGGGAATCGTTCGAGTGGAACTCCGGGAATCCGTACGACGGCAGCGTGTTGGCCGCCTACGGCAAAGTCATCGTCGTTACGCTGAACTACAGACTGGGCGTTCTTGGTAAGTTTATGGACGTTTTATGCCGAACGATTATTGGGAAACAATAGAGAGTGTGTGCCGAGAATGTTTTCTGAACAAATATCGGAGAAGTCGCGTTCCGTATAAATATCCGAGTCGAGATATACGTCGCAAACCGAATTTGGACTCGGGAGATTTATCTGGACTCCTTTCAAAAATTGACGTCGACGCGGAGTTGTTTTAAACATAAAGTATCGCTCTTTGTGAGCGCATAAATGGAACAGCCGACGAACGGCTTTTGTTTTTCGTAAATATCTCTTTGTGCTTGGCGTGTTTGGAGTCGAAATGATCGGTGCGTCGCGTCGGAACGACATGTTTTTTTGACTTTAAAATGCGATACGTGTTTGCTCATTTTGCGTCCTTTTGATGATATTGACATTGAGTGTGTCGTCAAAAGAAGTAACGTTGGCGGTTTTACGTCCGACGTTTTAGATGGTGGCGGCGGTGCAGGCTTGATAAAGCTCCGAGATGGTGCACTCGATCTCCGGAGCGGATTGATTTTTCCGGAAACCCTATTAAAACCTAGAGATGGAGGATCCATCTTGTCGAGCCATTTCTCTAGTTGACTTCCCATGTCTGTAGTGGCTTCAGACAATAAATCTCGGTTCATTTTCCTCCGTTTATTAACGAGCGGCATTCGCTCTAAGCCCGGCGAAACATCCGCGAGCTCGCATATTAAACGAATCGCATTCAATTCTAATCCCCAAAAAGTAATTTTTCCCGTCTCGCTTATTTTTTCGGGCCGCGTTTAAAACATCAAGCGTATTATTTCGGTCCGGCGGTTCCTTATTACTCCGGGGTGTTTATTATATTTGTCAGTGGGGAGGTAACCGCAGATGAAGACCCAAAACTGCATACTTAGACATAAAGGCCTTGAAATATAAATTTCCCTCAGCGGAAATCAAGACGGAGACCGGGAGAACACATTTACAACAACAAAGAAAATTCCGTCGCGAGTAAAAAGATGAAATCTCGCTCCGTATATATTGTGCCCATAAAAATGACAGGTTTTTGGCCGAATATTCCCACAACGGCGTTCGCACGCGATCCGTATTATTCGACCCCGCGGGACGACGGGCTCACTCATTCGTCGGTCAAAGCACCGACGTTCTTACGATTCCATTTTTGACCGGAAACTCGGATAAATCATTCGTTTGTTGTTGTGTTTTTTTCTTGCAGGCTTCCTGAAAGCGAGCACTGACGAATTCACTTCGGGAAACTTCGGACTGGTCGACCAGATAGCTGCTCTGGTTTGGGTCAGGGATAATATAGAGGCTTTTGGCGGCGATCCCAACACTGTTACGTTGTTTGGACATGGAACGGGCGCGGTCTGTGCCAGCTTACTCATGCTCAGTTCGATGGTTTTGCAGGACAACAAAAGTAAGGAGAAGAACGGGGTGAAGGAGTGCGGCTCGCAAACACTTCGAACTCGTTAAAGTTTTTACTAACGAAGTCGTGATGAACTGCAAGCGAAAGTTCGCCCATTCAAAGCAATATCCGGTTATGGGGTCATCCGAAAGGGAAATATCGGAAACTCTCTAGCGCTGAGATAGAGCTAGGCTCGTTGAGACAAGAGACAAAGCAAGTCAGGTCATGTCAGGTTAAGTTGGGTCGTGTCAGGTCAGGTCAAGCTGGACTGACGTAGACCAGTTTTCAACGTCGTGAAGCGAAAAAGATGTAATTGAAAATGGACGGTATGCTGACGCCTCAAGTTATGAATTAGGTGCAGCTACAATACACAAGCTCAAGGAAAACGTAGGCAACCTGATAAACTAGTCTTTTCGGTTACATACTTACATGATGTGTCTTTCTTTTTCGCGTAAACCCCATAACGTACAGATAAATTAACATGGGTAGGACTTTGAATGCGACTATATTAAACGCCGAATTTTCACAGTTTACGCCACAACGGAATTTTTATTTGTATGCGGGTGAATGCTCACTCAAGTTTATTTTAGCGTGAACTTTTCAACACGACGATATATACAAACGTTTCACTGAATTTGATAAATTCCGATCATACATCTGGCGTAATGCGAGAACATGAAAGTGAATAAAAAATTTACTGCCCCCATATATTTTGCTCGCAACATACTGTATACAATAATAAAACCCATATCAGTCTGTTAAAAGAAAATAAATGTTGAAACGAAATTCATGATATGGATTGCTTGATTTATTCGCATTGTTGTAGTTTTCAAATGAGCGTGTATGCCGACCACAGATAGGTTTGATGACGTTATTAACGTAACCACTGTTTTTAACACAAAAACCTGTTTAGCTCTCGGTAGTGTATTTTATGTTGCTGATAAATCCGGTGGTTACGATTACTGCAAATTATTCCCTGAGGATAAAATCTGACTAGGAGCTAGTGGTTTTTGAACTATTGTTTATTCTACAATTGCGATCAATTAAATTTCGTTTGATAATTGCGGAAATGATAAGTTTTAGATTTGGTAAGCTTTCCATTTTGTTCTATCAATAGAACAGTAAAATAGTACAGACAAGTCGTAAACAACAAATATGTAGAGCAACAATCAATCTGATGAAAATACGGAATGAACGTCCACAATAGATGTTGCGCTGAAATATTGGCTCCACGTTTCCTGCCATGCTAAAAATATACAAAAAAACTTCGAATAAATGGGAATTAAATGATCACCGGTGATATATCTCTAAATGTAGATAGAATTTTAGCGAAATATGTATTTATATGCCAGATTTTTTTCCAAACCGTGAAAAACAGCGTAATTTCCGTTCTCTGCGGAAATGCCATTTTTCCTCGAGTAATATCTAACTAATAATTTGGAATTCAGTCGACCTAAGAGTGTTTAATTTCATTTTTATTGGCTATTCGTTCAACAACGTCAATTAGCCTTCAGTCGGACTGCCCGTGGAACTATTACAAACTTTTAACCATCTGGAGCGTTAAAAACCCTGAGTTTGTCTGTGCAATCCTGTCGAATTTTTGAAGTAATTTTAACAACTTTCACGTTTCAACACAACTTTCCTAAAATAACGTTACATTTTTTTATTGTCCGCTCTTGCCCCCAGCCCACTTTCAGCGCGTGATCCTCATGAGCGGCTCCGCCCTCTCCGACTGGGCCCTCGTCAGCAACCCCCTGCACGTGAGCTACCAAGTGGCCCAAACTCTGAACTGCCAGATGCACGACAATTTCGGCGCTTGCCTCCGCAAGAAGCGTCTCGACGATATACTCAGCGCCGCGACGCTGCCCTCCTACCGCACCCGTTTCGGCCCCGCCATCGACCACCAGGTCATCCCCAACGACCCCAAGAAGCTCATGACGACCTATAACGATATGTTCCGGAGGTAACGGAATTGATCAGACGAAGTGCATCGAGCATCAATAATTCGTGTATGTTATTTCCCCAGGTTCGAGATGATGTTCGGCGTGACCGAACTGGAAAGCCTCCACCTGCTCCCAGCCGATGCACTCAAGTTTGGCATGCTCGAGCGGGATCGCGATGACGAACTGAGGCGCTATCTCAGGTCGCGGTGCGAGATGAAGCCCGAGCTGTGCGTGACGCGGACGCTGGCCGAGTACACGAATTCGGAGTTCACGATGGACGAAGGGTACGAGAGGTACTCGGGCAAGGAGCCGGACAGGGCGTCGCTGGCGAGGGACGCGCTGCTGGACATCCTGTCGGACGCCCGGACCGTGGCGCCGATGGTGCAGATGGGAAAGTACCACTCGGAGCTGAACAAGGGGTCGTACTTTTACGTGTTCACGCACAAGACGCTGTCGAGGGAGTACGTCGTAAGTTGAACGAGTCGGTGCAGCGCAAGCGAAGTGCGGTGACGTTTAATGTGCAAGTAAATCCGATGCAATCTATTAGATTTTCCTTCTGGCGGCGAATTACTTGATTCACTTTTCAATCTGCGATAAATTTCCGGGCCTCCAGCCCTGGATAAAATTCCGTTCTATCCCCAGCGAGTAGTATGTATTGGCTAAGGACGTTACCTTTCCCAGGTGTCGCATTATCTATCCTAGCGCTCATTGCAAACTCCTATGCCCATTCTTAAATGACTGCGCCGTAATCCATGCTCTTTACGATTCTAATAAAGACGGCGAGTTTAATGGCGCGTAAATTCGTTTTAAAACTCGACTTACTAAATTAAAATTATTTTGATCGCTGTAAGGGCATCTTTTACGGGACCGTCAAATTAACAAATCATACCGTTTCGCGTCGACGTTGACCCGTTTCGCTCTCATTATTTTATGCAAGCCTGGATGGGCGACGGCACCAAGGATCGAGCGAAAAATAGCGTCGTAATTGCGGCAGATGGCGAGAATTGTGTCAAGAAATGAGGAAAGGAGCATTCAATTAGTATTGTTACAGCGATTGGCGCGTTCCGGAATTAAAATTTTGGTCCGCGGGCTAACTACTCCCGGGACGTTAATCAAACTACATTTAAATTTATAAGGACGAGGACCCGAAGAGAGTATGGATGGAGCGAATTTTAAAGGATCTTGGTGTCCCCAGGTGTTTTATTTTTGAAAGAATTTGAAATAATCTTGAGGACTCGAATGTTTCTATCTTCTTTTTTAAGAACGTGAACGAACTCCAAAGGCTCTTGGTGTTTTATTTTTGAAAGATTGTTAGGGACCTTTGTATCTATTTTAGACCCTGAAAGAATTGTGGAAATCCCCGGTGTTTTGTTTTAGAAAGAATCTGAAAAAATCTTGGAGGTTCCCGGTGCTTTATTTTAGAAAAGTCTTGGCAGCCGGTCCCCCGTGTTTTGTTTTAGAAAGAAACTGCAACAATCTTGACAGCCCCGGGTGTTTTGTTTACGAAAGAATTTGAAAGAATCTCGAGGGACAATTAATATTTTGTTTTAAGACAACAAAACGTGGTTCGTCTACTGAAAAATTAGAAGCGTTGGGAAAACGCGCCTTGGCGAATTAAAATTATTTTGATCGCTATTAAGGACAATCTTTAACTCGCCCGTTAAATTAACAAATCATATCGTTTAGCGTCGACGTTGACCCGTTTCGCTCTCATTATTTCATGCAAGCTTGAATGGGCGACGGCACCAAGAATGGCGCGAAAAAGAGCATCGTAATTACGGCAGATGGCGAGAATTATGTCAAGAAATGAAGTAAGGAGCATTTAATTAGTATTGTTAGAGCGATTGGCGCATTCCGAAATTAAAATTTTGGTCTGAGAGCTAACTACTCCCAGGGCGTTAATTAAACTAAATTTAAATTTATAAGAGTGTCGACCCTCGGAGAGTGTATCGGGTGGAGCCGAATGTGCAAGATCACGGCTACACCGGAGGAGTGCTTCCGAGCACGTTTACAAACAAGAATCGGTCCGTAAATACGCTGCTCGTTGCTTCCTACTGCAATAATTGGGTCTCCGCTGCATATAAATAGCGATCTATTTTGATGCTTCCAGAGAAACAAGACTTACACCGGGGAAGAGTTGCCATACGTATTCGGAGTTCCATTAGTCGGTTCTACGTATCACCAGTACACGGAAAGAGAGCGGCTCTTCGCTGAAGTCGTCATGACGTACTTCGCCAATTTTGCCCACACGGGGTAAGTGAAGTGGTTCGACAAAATCAGACGAAACACTAATTCGCGCAGAACGTTATCGAATTACGGCGCACTTACTCGCACAAAACTGATTCGATTTTTTTCCCATTGCAGTGACCCAAAAATGCCACGCAAGAGCGAATATTACACGTTGAACAGCAGCGAATGGATTAAATTCGACGTTGATTGGCGCCCGTTCGATTCGAACGAGCAGTGGTATTTACAATTAGGTAAAGTAAGCGTGCGAACGGTAGAATCGAGGACCGAACATGCGAAAGAAGAAAAGATAATTCACGCAATTGGTTATCAATTTGACAAATCTTTTTTCAACTGTGTATTTTCCAGGGATTCCGCCCCGCCGCTTGAATTATTACAGACACGAGCAAATGAAATTCTGGAACGAAATTATTCCGAACATCACTTCGAACAGCAGTACTTACGATTCTAAGCCGATGCAGACGCCGTCTTTCACGCCCCCGAAGAGTCAGCCGCCGTGGATCCTCACCCACCCGGTGGGGAAGTCGACGTATATAGATCGCTTCGAGAATTTCCACAAGCCGTACGTTCCACATCAAGGAGTCATTCGGATCACCGGCACCTCGGCTCCCGACAACATGATGGGAAACGTGGTTTATGGTACGGTCGTGAACTCGCCCGGAAACGTGCCTTCCAAAGAACCAGAAAGCAAGGGGCTTTCGTCGACCGTGACCGTCGCGGTATGCTCAGTCATCCTCCTTTTCAACCTCTGTCTGCTCGTGGTTTTGTATCTGACGTGTCAAAGGAAACGGAAGATGAGGAACGCCGTTCAGAAGAACGACGAAGCACCGTCGGGCGTGGACGAACCGAACGAAGATAAACTACTCAACGGTTGCAACATAATGAAAATCGTGAGTAAGTCGGAAAGGAGTGACGATACCTACGAAGCGGTCAAGTCCAGCAGGAGCGGAAGGTTCAAAATACCGAGACAAATGTCCAACAGCACGATAGACGCTCATACCAAAGTGAGGGACTGGATAACCAACGAGATCGTGTACAAGTATAGTCCCAGATTCTTGAGACGACCCCGACATAGCAACGATAGCAAATCCCAAGAAACGAAAGCCCACACGAGTCCGACCAACGATAATAATTCGACGTTGGGGCGAAGCCCCACGAGACCGGTCAGCCCGAACGAACCCCAGAAGAATCCTCGTCCTCCTTTATTAAAGTCGTCTAGTATCCCCGTTCAGAAGAACAAACACCCGGAGAAAGTTTCGATTGCCATCGATGCGACTCCTTCAGGACGTGGTCCTAGCGTGCTCGCTCAACAACCAATCGAACTCACTAAATCTTTGGATCGCCCCAATTTTGACGCACCGTTACGTCGCTCGTTCACTATGGAGGACTTTTCCTTGATTCAAGCCACCACTAATAAGCAAGAGTTGCGCAAAAGCACGACTAGTATCAATTTGAAGTTTCCTCCACACGAAGCCCAGATCATTCGCATCGACCATTCTCATTCGAAGTCTGACCCAGTTCAAGATTTCAACAACACTAAAAGACTAAAGACGTTTGATCCTAATTCTGACGTTAGTGTGACGTGCCGTGACGAAGAAGCCGATAAAATCCCGTTGACTCCGGAGGAATCCTTGATGACCATCAAGAGAAGGAATTTTCCGAAGGTGCTTCCGGATTACCCGTCGAGAGAAGCTTTGGCAAAGAAACGTCGTTCCATGCCGGTTGCCAATCACATGTTCTCGCCTATTCCAGAGATGCCGGGGCGATTCCAGCCCAGTTCTCCCACTCATAAGACTTTTGGCAAACTGCCACCTGCACCTCCGTTGAGGACTACGTCAACGTTAACGAGAAAACCCACCGGGCAACCTCCGGTTTGCCAGTCGGCGCCGATGTTAGTCCAAGAACCTCCACCTTCCCCAGAACCGGAACTTACTTGCAACAACTTGTACGTCGGGCCGTTGATTCCCAGACTCAACAAAACTGAGTTGAGTTCGTCGGAGAGTTCCAAATTGAATACGCAACCGATTTATGACAAGTTGAGACCGAAGGGTGGTGGTGAGAAAGGAGGGGGTAAAGGTGTGGCTAGAACCATTATAACCACGGATCCGTATCAACCCATTAAGAAAGTAGAACCTAAGGTTATTATCAAGCCTACCATGGCGAGGAATTTGAGTGACCCCAAAAAGCACATACCTAGGGTGAACCTTAATGAGAGTTTCTCCGAAGAGGAGACAAAGAGGTTGTTGAAACCAACTCAGATACCTACACTGATGAAAGGTAAGGAAGGTTCTAGTTCGTCGTCGACGCCGTCGGACGAGTCCGACACAGGAACCGTCGTGAAAAGGATGTGACTTAAGTAAGTTGTAGCCCACTCACATATGTTAAGCAGTATTTTGTAATATAGCATTTAATGTGTTCGCCATTTTTGTATGTGCATAATTAAAAAAAAAACTGTAAGGGGTTTTGTTTTTTTTTCTTTTTTTCTATCAGTGCGAGTTCGAAGCGGTTTCGCGTTGGAAATGAGCGACGAAAAGTTTGAAAAGGTGGGAGATTTAGGGATCTTGTGGGGGTGTTAGACGCGAGCTTCCGCGTCATGATTTCTGATTATTTGCATTCATTTGTGTTGATTATTTTTCATTCTTTGGTCGGAAGGCGCATTTTCAATCTACTCAGACTCGGCTCCTCTTCATATGTATACATCGTAGACGATCCAACAAGAAGGTACACATTCGGTCGGAATTTTAAAGCGATCGGTGGCATTCTAGAGAGGACAAGACCCCCGGCTGATATCTCGAAAATAACATTTCGAACAGTCGCGTAAACGGTATGTACGTAGGTTTTCACGAGATTCGATCGGTTGATTTCCATACATATTGGTTTCTGATATAGGACGTCTCTACATTGAGTAAAAGGGGAAAGTAGCAAATAAAATAAAAGTCCCTCTGTTGGCTGCTTCCAATTTACGCCTTTTTTGTCATTCGTGTTTACCGTTTCATGGGAAATCGACTCTACCAACATACGTCCTACCTGCGCCTTTTACGTTGATGATGTGATCACGACACTAATGGACAAAAGGAAATCTAATTACCGACACCATTACGCACGCACATTTGCATAAAAGCTGGCCGAAATGAAGGTAGACGCGGACGTGGACGTTTCGAATTTTTTCGCATGGCGGAGAGACGAGTACTCGGGGGCATTTCAGGCACGCACTTCCGGCGGCCGAAGCTTGCCGGCATTTTTTGTGAAAAAATGGCTCGGTTCAAGGGTGAACTCTCGACAAATCTCTGCTTTTACATTACACGATAATCCCCCGAACGCGCAATAGGGAGCGGTCCGAGCCCAAGAGGACCCTTTGATGGCTACGAACGGCTCCGATAGGAATTCCGAGAGGCAGAGAAGTAATCTCGTTCTGTCACTGCGTTCTTTTTTAAAATTTACTGAGCGTTTCATTAAGAAAAAGTAGAATTTTATTGTCGCAACAGGTCAATCTGCGCTGCAAAGCTCGGACACAATCGAAGTCGGAATCGACAATTCATCGAGAGCGCGCTGGAAACCGTCGATTCTTACGGCGTTTCACTGTAGTAGGTGAATTTAACGATAAAACGTCGTTTCGGTTTTTGCTTTTTGTGTCCAAGTCGAGATTGGGGGAAACTTTGCACTTACCTTGAAATCGTCAAGGGACATGTTCCGGCTTATCGGTCGTTAAATTTCCGCCGGGTCTCGGCCCTTTACTTAGCGATAAAATATTTTGTTCGTCGACTCATTAATTGACACGATGGGACGGGGGAAAAATATTAAATTTAGGAATAAAGCCAGCAGTTTCAGTTGCAGAGCCAACAACACGAGACGAACCTAAATCCAATATTAACATAGAATTAAATCGGAAGACGGTAAATTTGCTTTGCAAATTTACAGATAAAAGGCGTGATCTTGGAAATAATGGAATATTCATAAGTGAATACGACACGCATTTTTAGTAATTAATCTTTATTAATAATTAATGTGTCACATTATTTAAAACATCTTTTAACAAGCCTTTGAAACGTGGAGAGTCGTCGTCACTCTGGCACGGTTCTCGGACAGTTAGTTCCAAAATTCACCGAAAAAGTTGGTTATATGTTTGCTTGTTGGTTGTATATACAATGTCTAAAAATCGCTGATTGTTTAATTACCTAGATTAGACTAAGATAAAGTTTTTTCGTTGAAATTTGAAACGGAGCTACACTTTTTTGTTTTATATACATTATTACGTAGATTGTCCACTTGGTTTAACACTCTTCCAGTCTGCAGAGGAAAAACAACTTCGGCGCACATAATCAAAAGTTTTTGGCACAGGTCATCATCATCATATGGAGTACAAAATTACTAGTGTTGGCAGTAATCCGTTTAACTTTTGGGGAAATTTTTAAATATTCAAGCTCATCAGTGTTTCGGAAGATCGGAAGGCTTCGATTAATGATAACGGTAGTAGAATACTGATACTGACGACGGTACGAAACCTGAATCGTTGAAAAATCTTCTGTTCACAAGCAATCGACAACTTAAACTAATGATAGAGATATTCGTTTCGTCTTCAACATGATATAGCTTCAAGAGATAACAGGATAACATGAAGGGATTTGTATACGATTCCATCAGTGGCATAACGGGTATCCGATAGCTTTTATAAATTCGCGAAAGAAGAATTGTCCGTTATTAGTTTTGGGTCCCCGATTTCACGATTGCGCGAAAATTTCGAACCCAAAACCGACAAGGGACGATTCCTCCTCGCAAAAGTGATTTCGAACAAACTTTAAATTTAGCCCTCTTATAAACTTAGACGAATTGAGTTACGCCGCCGAATTTTCAACATTCGATTTATTTATTCATTCCACAAGGCGCGACCATCTTGTCGGAATGAAAAAATAAAGCGCCTCCAAACAAGAAGAAACTTTTATTCGCTCTCTCCCAACGCAATAGACTCTGGAAACAATCGAAAAATAGTATTGTACACTTATACACATAAACATCCATAATAAACTTCGTTATCATTATGTACAGCTCATTAGGAATGAGGCCAGAATAGGCCCGGTGTGGCGTCGTTCAGAGTCCGGACGAATCGCGAAGCACTTGGTTATCACACGCGCATCTCACTCATCGCCGCCTGCGGTACCCTCATGCTCCCCTTGTTGGGGCCGGTGTTATGGTGCGAGGCCAGCAGGGGCTGGCTCTCGGGCGGGCTCTTGGTCCGGGGCGGCGGCGGCGGTCTCGGCACGTTCATCGGCATCGTGGCGTTGCCGTTCGGCGGCTGCACCAGCCCCTGCTGCTGCATCTCGGCGATGACGCACGCGGTGTTGTTCATGAGGGTCGCGTTCTTCGGCAGCGTCATGCAGCCGGGGTTGTAGTTCTGGACGACGCCGTGCATCGACGCGTTCTTCGGCAGCGTCATGCAGTTCTGCATCATGACGTTGGGGCTGGGCGGCGGCGCCTTCAGCTGGTTCGACAGCTGCATGTTGCTGGGGCACAAGTGCTGCTTGCTGATCTCGTGCTGGGTGTTGGCGGCGAGGATCATGGCGGACGTGTCCTGCTCGACGTCCACGATCACGTTGGCGCTCTGGGAGTGGCCCATGTGGTAGTGGCCGTGCTTGGAGATGGTCTCGAAGGTGGCCTGGTTGCGGCTCTGCTGCTGTTGGAGTGACTTGACCTTAAACACAAACAATAGAGCGATGGTACGGCGAACCCAGTTTTCTGGGGTATTTGAAAAAGAGAATGAAAAATGCGATTTTTTTTGTCGGACGTAACCGTCTTACAATTACCTCCATCCGCGTTTTGTCCCGCTGGTAGTAGACCCCTGCGAAAATGAGCACGTTGAGGATGAGGAGCGAGCACCCTATGGCTATTGTGACACTGAGGGCGGTGCTGTAGGCGGCGTAGCCCGCCGCCTCCAGGCTGGCGAGGGTGTCTGTCGACGTGTTCTGGTTTGAGTAGGTCTGGTGGTTGAAATTGCCCGAGGAAACGACGTTGACGCACGTCGTTACGATGGTGTCCATCGTCGTCGGCGTGTCTAAGCTCGTAAGGCTCGAGTTGGGTCGTCGACGGAATAACTCCATAGTGGGGTCGTAATAACTGACTCGAGATAAGGGATCCGGGCGCACGGCTCCGTCGTATAAGTCGGCGTTATTGTGATTCCTGAAGAGATTGTGTCTGGCCACTACGTCTTCCATTCCGGCGCGGTGGAGTTCCGGGATTAGCCGGAGCCATACGCTTAATTGATGGGCGCGAAAATGATTCTTCATGCGAGGTTTCATCCCTGAAAAGATATTACAAGTTAATCCGGCATGAAAAATACTTTCCGGAATAGTGGAACCGTAGTAAGCGCGGAAATGGGCTAGATGTCTTTGCTGCTTTCAGCAAATATACGAATCTCTTTAAGAATTCAAGGCGGACCCCAAGAGTGTAGAATTTCTTTAGATTAACGTATTCCTGAAAATGACACAACCCCTGATCTTCGTCTTCCTTATGGACAGATAGCCGTTATCACATTTGGGAATCGTGGACCTTTCAAGCCGCATTTAGACTGCGACAACAATTCCGAGAAGAATTGTCCTTTTACCATGACCAGATCCTTAACACGAAAGATTTCACAAACATCCCATCGGTTGTGATTTTTAATTTTTCATGTTACGAAAATGAAAAAAACACGACTTAATTTACTGCAAACTCAGTCAACAAGCAGAAACTTTTAACTAATTACTCCTTATTTCGTGTTTATTTAAGAAAGAAGTTCACCGAGCGTTTTTTAACTGGGAATAAACTTCGCTCTTTGGTTACTTCAAAGTTTCAAATATGCATTACAAAAGCAAACGAACTAAAACGATCATAAAGGGTGTAATCGCGGAACTACGGTGGAAAAAGAAAACACTAAGCGGTTTACATGAATAAGGAAAAGTATGACCAAAAAAAAGTAAAGACGATCGGTAGAATGCAAATTGTAAAAGAACATTTACTTCTACAAAGTGTTCTCTGTACGGGTTACTTAATCTTCTTGCCATACCGGATGAGAAAATTCAATTATCCCGGTTGTATTAACAAAGCTGCAACTACTTAGTATCGAGAAGTCTATATAGTTGCGGCTACAACTAAAACGGGCAAATAATGATAGCAAATTAGTGAATCAAAATCGTTTCAACTCCGACCCATTTGTTTTCATTAGTCGAATTTGAGCATATTACGTCGGCCAAACGCAGCAAGCAAGTTGATCTTTTAGTGTACAACTTTACATATACAAATTTGAAACACTGCCTCGGATGCCACGTTGGAAAATTCAATTACATGACAGGAATTGCGTTACGACTGACGAATAAATTAGATAACCGTTAATACGACCGGCGACACATACATTCCGTTAAATATTTCGATTCGCTCGGTATGTATTTGATTTATGCTCAATATTGTTTCGCTTATGCGCCCTTTTCGCATGGTCTCGAACTTAATAAAAAAGACTTTATGCGATAAACAAATAACTTTTTTATTTGCCTGCAGCGACTTGTAAATTGGGGTGTATGTTGCTAAATCGTTCATCGTTCCGGGAAAATAATACGCCTCGGTAGGAATATTTCATTGTCTTATGGAGTTCACCCTCTTCCGTACGAAAAAAATTGAATTTGCATACAAACTTTCTCGATTACGTTATGGTTTTTCGTCGACTGCTCTCGTATTTGTGTATAAGTTTTTATCAGCGGCAAACACCCGTAGGATCTGCAGCCGCAGTTGTACACCCAGCCGGAAAACTCCAGTCACTTCCCGTCGTTTGTAACCCTTATTCGCAAAATCGCGTTAGCACCTACGGATGACCTTCGATAGACAATAAAGCTGCCATATTTTAAACATTCGAAACGGTAACGAGATCTGGAGTATTTATGTAACTTACCGAAGGAGAGTTACGATAATAGAAAAAGAAAGCTCGTCGTTTTATTAGGTTCCTCGCTGGAAAGTTCTAAAAGCGGTGTTTATTATTAGTTCTGGACTTCAGCCGGTAAATATCAGCTCTACCTGGAGTATTATCTAGAGTAATTACCTCTGGCGAAGCATAACTGCTGTTTGCCGTATCACTCTGTGAGTTAATTTAGTGGCTGTGCAGGCAGACTGTTGCGGTTGCTAGCTGATGACCTCCCATACGGCCGGTGGAAGTGCGGTTTAGGTCCACGAGAGGCGAAACGAAGCGTTCTTTCGACTGTCGCTTCTTTCGCGTTTGTGCTTCATATCAATTAATTCAGCTTAGTCGGTAGAGATAGCGGCGGTGGTGGCGGCGACGGCGGCGGTGGTCTTGTGGCGGGCGGCGTGCGAGTGTCGTCGAGCGCATTTTAAATAGTAGATAAGTGCGGTATCTACGAGAGCCGAGGCATAACGAAGAGAAAAGACAGTGATGAAGAGAGATGGAACGTGGTTGATCCTCGGGGACGAGCAGATTTATAACCAGAGCGCGATCATTTCACTCGCATACATCTCGGATATCCTCAGACATTTGCACGAGTCACGTCAAGAAGAGCGGTAATTACCGGCGCAAGATGGCGCTGCTTCTTGTCATCATACATCATAAGCGGTACGAAAAGGAATTAAGTTACTGATAGGAAGCGAACCCTTTCCAAATTGGCCCCCGCCTTTAATTCAATATCGATCACGTGTCGCCGACAAATCTCAAATAATAATGTTTAGATCTCGTCTCTCAAGCACGAAATGAATAATTTCATATTCTTTCCGAGGGACACTCTCACGGCTGAATCCCAAGCAGGTCAATTTAATTTGGAGCGGCGATGCCGCCGTGAGCGTTATTTCTTTTCCTCTGCTACTCGAAAAATTACGTTAAAATTTCTCATCATCAACAAAGCTCGTTCGAGAGTTAGTCGCTGATTAGATTATTTCGGTTTAAGTCGTCTGAAAACTTGACCAATCTTAAGTTGAAAACGGAGTTTTTTCCATTTTTTTGTTGCTTTGGATTTAGTTCGTGATGGGAAACCGAGACAAAACGGGACGTGAGACTGCAACATTCCAACCTGTCACGGCATCACAGATGGCGGCACATGCGGCTATTCCTTAAATTGAAATTAGATAGACGCAAACTTTCCAACTTGATCGACAGTTGGTGCCGCTGAACCTGATTTGAAATTAAATCACGTCTAGTACACATGCAGGCAGGAATGAACCCTCCCTTACCCATTGTTTGCTTATTATTTCCACTAGCTCCTCCACGTAATGGGCTATTAGATTAATACCTCGATCCCCGGTTTGGTAACTAATTAACTCACAAAAATCCCGATCGAAATCAGATCTCTGAGGTCGGGGGAAATAAACCAGATTAAAACTTCCCGAAATATCAGCCTTGTCGGTGCTTTTACGCAAAGTCGTCGATGGTAATGCCGCAAATTGAGGTTTCGTTTGTTTGACCGGTGGCCCAAAACCCCCGGTCAAGGTCGCAAATTTTGACATTCGTTGCGTTGATGGACGCGGTCACACGTTGCCAGAATTCGAGCTACGGTCAATTTAGAGCAGGTCGGAGTTCGGGGATCACGTCCGTCTGTCTGGTAACCATAACGCGATTATCTGTGGCGATAGGTAAGCAATCCAGAGATAGATGGGGTGATAACGGGCATCTTCTTCCACTATAACTTCAAAGGGAGGCTAATGGCTAACAAATCAAGCGTGAAATGACGTCGTCCTTCTTCGTCTACCACTTATCAAAACCCTCTCGGGCGTTTAACGTATTCGTCTAAGCCCCATCCTCATGAATATTTCAAATCCCCGTTGTTAAGGAAAAAAAAATCAAGAAATTGAAAGTTACCTCACCTCGAAAATCTCCAAAGTGTTATTAACGCTGACCTCCGAATCGCTTTTTTCCCGTTCGAGAAAACAGATGACTTCCATTGTCACCTGAGACCTGTTCGGTCCATCAAATCTCCTCAATTAAACGAGGATCTTCGGAGGAACACGGCTTTAGAGCTTTGGTGGGAATCCCCCGTGCTTTAGCGTCCCCGTCTTTTCTTGAGCCGATTCTAGTTCATAAGTTTCTTGTGCCACGAACTTGGGTTCTACTAAACTTGTACTTAAAAATGAATCACGACTACACAAGCATCCTTAAGAACACATCGCGCTTCCAAAAACTTTTCACATAAGCTAAGTTCCCGGTTCCGAGAGCGGCGCTAGCATTTTCAGCTTTCGTTAGGCGCACGTAACAGCATTAAACGAATTAACTTCGGCCCGGAGAGTCTGAGCGAATAGCTTCATTTTAAATAGAGTCCAGAAAGCAAGTGCCCGCTCTGGCCAGCCGAAATAATTCTCGATCGGCCGAAAACCTTTACATTCTATTAGAGGGGAGATTCCGGGATTAGTGTTAAAAGCCTTTAAATAGTTTCGAACTCGCGTAGGCGCTACGCTGGAATACGCCACATTATATTAAAGATAACGGTCCGAAATGCCGCGAGCTTCTCAACAATAAAATAGATACAGAGGACGCGTTCTTATCTCGTTTTGAGTAAACACAGCGTCGGAACCAAATGCCGCCAACCACCGGTACAATATTTCATTCGATTCATGTCTAAGCTAAATATTGATTTGGTAGGTATGTACATGTAGCTTTTTACGTCGGAATACGCCTCCGGGCGAACAGGAAGAAGACGGATGTTCGAGAATTTGTTTCGTTTGTTTGGATATCATCACCGGATTACTGCATATACGGGGCGAGTAAACAAGCGAGGATCATCTTATTAAAAGCGACGCTGTTATTTTCACTTTTTCAATGTTGGATATGGATAGGAAAGTTCGAACAAGAGTTGAGCAAACTAAGAGCGTCTAAGCATCTTCTAACGAGCTAGCTAAAAGCGCCACTCTAGATAGCGCCATAAAATAATGTCGAACGAGTACTGCGAGGAAAGTAACTAGATGCACCGGAATGCTCACCAGACGACACCTACTTCGAGGTACTAAAAGCAGTGGAATGCCGCGTCAGACACACCTCAGGAGTTAAAACAATCACTTCCGACACAATTAAGCGGATTGCATCGCAGGAATGTTCCACCGAAGGAACAAACACTAGTGTCGAACTTCCGCTGTAAATAATTGCCGTAGCAGAGGTCAATGGTATGAAATTCCCACTCGTCCGAAAGCTTTTAGCCGCGGTGAGTGCGCTTAATGTATTTTTAACATGCACTCAGTCTCGTGTCCTTCCCAAACCGGTCCGCCGTACAATTTACGGCAACACCTGACGATTCTTCTTCCGAACAGACACCCCGAATTTTGGTTCTACTTAAACTCCCGACCCGTATTGTTTAGACGTGGCTGAGGAGTCGCAGCGGACGCAATCAACGAAGTTACGAGCTTGGAGGGCAGTACTGCGTACGTCTCGGTCATCCATCAGGCGGGGGAAAAACATATCACGATGTAACTTTTGAAAATTTTAACATAACAATAAATTTCAACAAGATTATGTACCGAATGATGTTCCTAAATCCTCGAAAGACTGGTTTACTAATGAGAATTTAAAACTGTTGACGTGGCCAGCAAAAATTACTGATCTCAATCCTATTGAATATGCATGGGGTAACATTGTTTATTATTCTGAAGGTTTGGACTAACTTGGGCAATATTTTACGTAAGTTGTTACTTTTATGTAACCATATTCAGAGTCGAGACCCAAATATGATCGTGATGATTTTGGTCCCTCGTCTGATGCATAACGTTGTCAAGCCTCCACCGTCGTTATGCATCGTCTGCCGGTCCTTAATGTCCGTCTATTTCGCTAAATTTTCTTCATGAATTCCAGCTGCAGTCGATGCATAAAGTACGCCCGGAGATTGCATCCATCATACTCGTCTGGATTATAAAACAAGTCCTCTTCCACCACATTTCATGGTAATTTTAAAAATCTATTTCCAAAAGGCCGTACTTCATATGGATGGAGTGAAGTGTCTCGAACGTTCGGACATCAATATTCAAAGTTTGTCCTGGGCGAGATCATTTATTATATGTCTAGGAGCGCCGTCTTCTCCCTTAACTGCAGCCAATTTAAACGGCCCGAAGACGATTATACAGCTCGCCTACCGAAATCCTATCTCGATTTTCTGATTTGTTAAGCCCCCGTTCCGCCACCCCGCGGTGCCCCTTAATTATTCATGATGGTCGGCTGAGCAGAATTTTAAAAAATAAATCCACTGCGGGGATGCCGCGAATGCTAAACTAATGGAATCGGCCGAACGAACGAACGGTGGCGTTTCCACTATTGGCAACAACATTTAATTAAACATAACGTAACGGCTCGTAAAACCTGAAACTATGCAGTCGAATAACGCCAGTCCCGTTCTTCAATTACGACTGTCGTACGCTGCAAAGCCCTAAATCTACAGTCCTTACCTATCTCGAGATACTTTTGATGGACAGAATCGTATTCATCCCAGACAATGGAGCGGAATCTATTGCGTTCCCTGGAGGCGGCGAGCACCGGTTCTTGTTTATGCTGCTCGTTCGGGTTGCTGCAATGAAAAGGCCAATAAGATTTATGCGACGCAACTAAAAAAAATACAATTTGCCGATGGTTCGTCGAAATAAAGCCCGAGAACAATAATCACATATCGTATTTATACCCGCCATAACGGCCCGCTTGATGCGCCGACGAAATAAGGAGCGAGCTTCTATCAGAGGCTTCATTTAACACCACGTAGCGAGAAAATTGGGAAAGATACCATCAAAGGTGCAAACACGTGAAGGTGGTTTTGCGTGTTTTAATTAAGGCCGTTTAAGAAAGCGCGCGTCGCAGCCCTCTAATTAATCTGTTTCCACGTAAATTTGCTGCTGAGCAACTCAGACGTCGCTTATAATGAACCGATCCGGACGTTTGATGTGTGTCATTTAATTAAATTTTGCACCAGCTTCGAACTTGTTCGATTTGGAGGGAATTGTTTTACGGTTCCGGATGGGGTTTTGTTGCGACATGTGTAGCGTTCGCCATATTAATAAATCAATCAACTGATGCGGGTTTGACCACTTTATAAATTAATATTTCCACGCGGGATTTGCACGAAAGACAACAATGGAAACAGATGAAGCGGATTGGAGTTTTTGTTCCTAATTCTATCATTTGCTGGGATAGCGGGGAATCGATGGCAGAAGAGCGACGTGCCGGATATACAACAGATAAACTACTTATAACGGCAATATTCGATATTTCTATTCACGGGAGCGGCGGTAATTGGAATTTAGTACAGATGTCGCCAACGACCTTTAACAAAACGTAAAGATAAGCACGAATGCTGTTCCGTAAAACGAACATTAACATCAAGCACCACGGAATGACAATTAAATAAGGATCTGTCAAGAGGGCTTCAAATGACCAAATCTGCGTTAAACACTTTGGATATCGCTAAAAGCATCTTTTGGATTCCCCATCCGACAGAAACATCGATTTTCAGCTGACTTCTTGTTCTAGATATCAAAACGGTGAAATACGTGAGATTTTCATTGTTCTCTTGGGAAGTCCACCGAAATTGCTTTTTACTTCCATTACGGCACCTATATCTTAAACATCGCAGAAATCTCGTTAAACAATATACTGCATCTCAGAACACGTCCTTTCTCAACGTATTAATGGTCTCAAATTTCGTTGACGACGCAGGTCGGAGCGTACTTTCGGAGTTTAGAATTTCTTAGATAATTCTTCATGTGCGCAAATCCTCGCAACACGTCGTAACGCAAACGGCGGCCATACGCGAAGTAAACTTGAGCAGCATCCAAGCAGACAACTTAATGAAAATATATCTCAATCCCGACAGACATGAGCGCTGACCTCTTCATCGGAGGTCGTAGAGGTGATTGCCTCGCAAGAAACTGCTCGGTCGAGACAAATATTCCCGTTTTCGAGCGAGAAGTCTACTAAAAATTAATTAAAAAAAGACAAACAACGAACATCTTTAGGATCATCGTCGTTTAGTTCGTCAGTATCAGTGGCAATGCCGTCTGGTAGAACGGATATTGGCTGTTGTTCGGGAGCGCTTCGTATCTCTTCTCCCTCGCATTTTGAAATGGCATAATATATAGCGCGCGTCTTATAATCAGGAATTTCGTAAAATGTTTGATTTAGGGTAAGCCGGGCGAAGCTTAAAGAGAGCATTAGAGTGCACGTGCTTCGGTGTTTGGATTCGGCGACGGCAACGCCGATGTTTGTAAACATTCGACGCCTGTTTATGTTTGTCCTTGGTATGAAGTTTCCTTTCAGATGGTGTATTCCTAAGGATTTCTTATCCATATCGCGACAACAAAGGCGGAATTTCCTCCAAGTCACGTCCTTTGCATAAAAAGCGTATTCACCTCACCTAAATAAGATCAAGATGGAAAATATTTGCAGACATTATCCGCAATTTCAAGTTTGTTCGTTTCGATATGTCGAAAATGAGGAACTTGTCGAGGGTCGTCGCATTCTGCGAGGAGTTAGTAGCGATCCGTCACGAGGTGAAAGGAAAGGATAAAATTCTCCCTTTCATTATGTTGTTGGAGCTTTAATGAGAACAGTGTTGTGAGTGAAAGGGTTTCAGATGAAGGTTTTAATGTCGAAATGGGATCGCCCATTTGTAACGCTATAGCAGAATTGTACATGACGCGTTAGCGCCGTAACGTCGAATAGAAATGGCGCAGCGTTTACACGGAGCCCGAACAAGTCGGGGTGTATTATTAAAATTTATTTACTTATAAATAACGAAGATGATCCTGTAAATCCGGCATTACCACCGCCGTGCCCGACCTTCCGACACATCACTCAGAATAGCACATCAAGTCGAAAGGGATCCCGGGACCTTCGTTCTATGCGAATGCAGATCGTCGATGGGAGGAAGTTTAATTAATATCAAATTACAGATGAACCGAGATCATAAAGTCGGTCTTAATTAATTAACTAGTGGGATGAGATAATTACTGGCAGGTTTATCGAGGTTCCCCAAAGGATCGGGGCGCGCGTTATTCCTTCTCGTCGGCATTACCTGAGAAAACCTTAAATTAGCATTTAAAATCTCCCAGATGCGTAAATATAAATTAAATTCATATTTTATAAGCAGGCCGGATTAAAAGGGCGCCCCCTCGTATGCAAATCGCGCAGATACATTTCGCAATTTGGATTTTCTCCTTAAAAGACAAATTCATGTCGGTGGGAGGCGGCGGGGGCGGCTGGGGCTACACTTGGCACCGCTTCCAATTTGCTTTCGCATTGTTCGGGTCCTCGTCTTGCAGCTAGCTCTGTCCGATGCTAATTTCGGACGTAAGCGGCTAAACCGACGCGGACAGCGCCATCTTTGCGAGGAGACACTCGCACAAATGGCGGTTTAAGGTTGTCGGAAGAATCGAGCCTAATCTGGCTAAGTGTGCTGGTTACGCTGGCGCTGGAATAGACGCAAATTGAACGCCAAGGATTACGGGGATCAAAGTCGCCGATTTCGACGTGTTCTTACCGATTTACAATGACGTAGCTTGTAATGGCATAGCTAATACTCAAACTTGAGCGTAACACTTCCATGCAATGGAGCATTACGTGTTCTTCTTCCGAATAAATCCGATCGATGCGAACGCAAAAACAGACCGACCCTCAATTATCTGTCGGTAATCCCGCAAAAACAAGAGTAAAGAGATTATTTCAAAACTCATAAATTTCGCTACACCTCGGCTAATAAATCAGACGAAATTATAAGCGATACGGGGGATGATGAATGTGTGCTGCTCGATTTGTAGTTTTTACAATTATTACGGACAAAAGGAAGAGTTTAATCGATTCGACTACGGATTATCTTCGAAACTGCTGAACGATGCGATTTGAATGCGGGCCCTCGTCCCCTCGTACCACTTACCCGGTTCTGGCAAAGTTGGCGATGTAGATGATGACGGCTTCCGCCAACGCCAACTCCGATCTAGTGTAGTTCTTCGGAAAATGATTGAAGCCGTCCACTAAAGGCGCACCAAAGATGTACGGAAGCTCTTCTCCGTGGACGGTCCCCATGCGCTAAGACAAAAACAAAACACAACTTTTAGTCTTTAAACCGCTCGATAGGTGGCGTCAACGTATGCTCTTCACGTTCGATCGTCGACACAGTTACTACATAATAGGAAGTGTGGAATTGTGCAGATCTTGTGAATTATAAACGGGAAATGAATTTTAAACGAGACGAGTCGCTTCTTTTCTTCAGACAGGAAGGCAAAAATAAATAATTGAGTGCCCAGGGGTATTTTTTAGCTGCGACTTCCATTTTTACTACGTGGTGTGCATCAGGCTTTAGACTTGGACCGATGACAAAGCCGATTACGTTCATAAGCTCGTCGTTGCTTGTCTTTTCTAAAAAAAAAAAAAATTAAAAACGACGCGCTGGCCGTTTGTCAGTTGTGACACGTGAAAACTGGGGTCTTAATTTTTTTGGTAATTTTCCAGAAAATGAATTCATTAAGGGTTAAAATGAAGCGGCGGCGGGTTCGGTGAATTATTCATGAATTATAATTTAGTGACAATAACAATTAATTTTATTTGGAACGGCTTTAAGGTTTTTCTTTTAAAAATTAAGGGGGCGGTTATCCACCTTCAGCTTCCAATTCTTTGTCATGCAAAACCTTTGAAATACTGATACCGATATAAACGACTGACTGTTCATTGTTTTATACGAAAGCGAAAAGCGAAAAAATCCAGATGGAATTTTCATCTGTTTACTTAAGAGTTCCCTAATTAAAAATTCCGAAAGTGGTGCGTCAATTAATCGGGTCAACATCGTCGTCGTTTATTTTTGCCCGAAACGGTAATAACATCTTCGATTACGGAAACGGGTGCGACTTCCGGGGCGCGATCATTTGCATAAAAAATTATCTAATTACCCTACATCGCTAATTAAAAAAGATCAGTAGAAAATTGGTTTTCCGGTCGACCTCCCTAATAAATAGTGAATAAAACTCAATTAAACTAACCAACTCCCGCATAATTGGACGCGGGTTAAATTTTGTAATTCTATCCGGTAACGCAATCCCGTCGGGATTGATTAACAATTCCCAACTAATAATACCATTAAAACCCCAGCACTTTGTAGATATCCGGAAAGACAACACCGATTAAAAAGAAAAGAAGTTCGATGATATCGGTTCGGTGCTTGCACCGGATTAAATCGATTTTGTTTCTGTTTGGTTTACATCGAGCACGTGCCATAACCAGCCGCAATGTGACGTGACGTCACAACGAGGCATTTTTCCATTTCTACGTGGAAAATTACGCATAATTTGGAGCAGGTGTCGTGGTAATGGACAGATGAGACATTGCGGCTCGAGTCACGTCTTGCAGCATGTGTGCTGGGTGTTGGTGGCTTAATGGGGTATGTGCATGCCGAGGATTAATGGAGGATCTGAATGGGAAAAGGCCAATATAAGGAAAATGTTGTACAAAGTGGCTGGAATACGATCAGAAATACTAAAACCATCTTTGTCGCGAGAACACTGCAAAAACGTAGGCGCTGAAATGTGATGCCATAACACTTTGCCGTGACACTTTTAGTCGTATTACACGAAATGAATTTCTGCGCTTGGTGAGCTCGGGTTGCATTTATGTCTGGCGCGAAAGACGCAATCGCGAAAATTGTTACCCGGATTTCGAATCTAGTTATGCATAATATCCTATATAATTAGCATTGTGCAACATGAGGTTACGATGTGCAGCGACTGACTCTGGTGCTCCGAATTTCCTCGAAAATCTGTCAACACGTTGTTATTATGCAGCTCCGGAATAAGCTCGAAGCTAAACACCGGAAGTGAAGATACTCATATTGGGAAGCTATTTCGGTTATCACCTTCGGGGTAATGGAGCGGCAAGGAGACACCGTTTCTATCAAAAACCAACCCGCGATCTCGACGCAGCATCTCTTGTGTTTCGGATTTGCGGTTTCTACAATTCCTTTCGTTTGTAATGTTTACTGAACTGCTCCTTATGATAGCTTAATGAGAAAATTCTTTGGCACCGGATCTGTAATTAGACTTGTTTGAAATTCATTACAGATCGGGATAAGTATTCGGAGAGCAATCCGCTTCTGGAGAAAAGGAAAAATAAGACATAATTTAACGTAAAGCCGCAAAACTTTTTAATTGAGCTTTTGCACAAGATGTCGCCAGGGATTGTGCATCAAAATCTCATAAACTCATCTGGCACGAAAGTTACAGCTGTTGTAGATTTACGCCGTCTCGCAAACAACACGAATTGTTAGGAACTCCGGGCACGACTTCGTGAAGGATACATTTTTTCAGATCAACAGATTTCTACTGGACGTCAAATTTGATCATTTCTTAGCTGCTGGGAAGTCGTGGAGGAAATAAACACACTTGCGAAAATCTTTCCTAAAGAATGTGATACGTTCGCTAAAGACCGGAACGAACAGTTTTGGACTATTACGTTTATGTCCGCAACTGCTTCCCAAGGTAGTAAATACGACTGTAATCTTACATCCAGTAATAAATGGCGAATCTTAATGTATAATGTATGCGTCATTCAACGGTAATTGTAATGTTCTCTACGCTATATTGGACAGCTGAAATCTTTGCCCTCGATGCCAGATGCACGAGCAATCAATCCTCTTCTCGAGTTTACGAAGCGAAATGACGAAATTTATACGAATAAGAATGATGCCTATCAATTCAGCTCAAAATATTCCTCGCATCTTGTTGGCTGTAACAGGTTTAAAATATTCGTATTTAACACAACCTTGTTGGCTTGTGCCGGTACGGCGGTTTTCAGGTAGATTTTAACTGAGGTGCTAAAATACTAATCTTAAAATAATAATAGTGGAACATTGTCCATTACCACTATCACTTGCCACCTAAGTAGGTTAACCAGAGTCTCTCCATTTTCTAAAGCTGTTTTCGATCAGATCAAACTACAATTTTGAAGCACCACAACGCTTGTTTTCAAAAATTGCATAAAATTTTGAAACCCAACAACAAAAACTTGAATGATTCCTACGCTGCCCTACCTGCGGATAGTCCCCGTCCTTGGTCTGGTAGTCGAACACGTAGAAGAACGTCTTGGACCCCGACGGCTCCTGCCCCGGCTGCGGCGGTTTGGCACTCAGCAAGTCCCCCGTCTGCACCAGCGGCGCCACGAACTGCGCGTCACTCAACGCCGCCACTGCCGCGTCTCTCGTGTTAATCGGATGCTGCACCGTCCTCTCCCAGTCCGTGTACTCGTTCACCACCGTAAAGAAAATTTCACTTAAATGATACGTATACGCGTTTCTAACGTAAGTCCTAATGATCTTGTCCCTGCGCTCCCCCTCGAAGCCCGCCTGGATGTCCGCCGCCGAGAACCGCCACAGTGCCTCGCTCGTCACGACCCCGAACAGCAGATCGTACGGGTTGCTTCCCCTCGGCGTCAGCGTCGCCTCGCTCCTCTTCATGTTGGCGTTCACCGGGCCCACGAAACTCTGCAGGTCCGACGGCTTGAAGTACGTGACGAGCTCCTTCGCGAAATCGGCCTTGATGACGACGCCGTCGACGCTGGGCCCGAACGCGCTGAGGTACGCCGGAGGCGCCACGTCGGCCTGCAGCAGCTCTGAGAGGGCGGTGTCGCGCAGGCAGTCGACGATGGCCTCGTGGTCCTTGCCCACGTCCTCGGGGATCGTGCAATTGACTTCGCGGGCCAGCTTCACGGCGTAGTTGACGGGGTCCTCCACGAGGGCCCAGGAAGACAGGGCGGAGCCGGAGAGGAGGATGGCTCGGTGGAACAACCCGGGCATCACGGTAGGCGAGATCATGAGGAAGTTGATGCAGGCCGCCCCGGAGCCGTGACCCGCTAAGGTCACGTTGTCGGGGTCGCCGCCGAAGAGGGCGATGTTCTGCTGGATCCAGTGGAGGGCGGCGATCTGGTCCATTAGCCCGTAGTTGGCAACGCGGGCTTTTAGGTGAGGGGCGGGGTTGGCGTTTAAAAAACCTGAAGAGGGAGGGTCAAGCCGCGTCTGGATTGTGTGGAAGGGCTTACCTAAGATTCCTAACCTATAATTTAGAGTAACTACCACGAGGTCCGCATACGCTGCTAACACACTTCCGTCGTAGGGGTTCCCCGAGTTCCACTCGAAGGATTCGCCATGTATGTAGACTATCACAGGATGACGAGCTTCACTGGAGGATACTGGAAAAACACAGAACATTGTTGTTTAGAGCTAGTTCACTATGGGAAACAAATCAAATCGTGAAGTAGAATTGCTTGTAGGAACATGAGTAACGAGTGGAGAAGACAGCGAAAATATAAGGAAGATTAGTTACACCTTAAAAAGAAACCAAATAATCTTTTCATAAAGTTGAGCCTTTTTACTGTAAATCTGGGAAAACGTGGGCGTAAGAATAGATAACTTGGCAGAGCGAGATTATTTTGGAGACGTACAACCTATATTGAAGCTAACAATAACTTTAATCTCTCGATGTAAGATCGAAAATGAAATCAGTAAAAGGCCATCGGATTGAATTTTCTGCTGCAATAGAAATCATACGAGATTCTTTGTATCCGCAAGTGCATTCGCTCCCTTTGTTCTTGGGAAAAGATCTGCGGCGCAATTGCAATCGATGAAACGCCAAGATAAAAGAAAATTAAAAGCAATTTCCTTAAATCTAGAGAAAATTGAGTGTCGTAAACTTTACTACATAAAAATACGAAATATGTTTATAAAAGTCTCAAGATGTTCGCGAAATGGAACCATCTCGAATAATACCGAAAACGATCCAGGCGAATTGCGTGCAGTAATGTGCTAACGCGTACCTCCTATAAAAGTAACACTGAATTATACGTTTTTCGCGACGAAACCACCAAGACCACCCACGATGAAAAATCCATAAAACCGCCTCCAACACTCGTCGCTCTTTTGTATGTCCCACGGCGAAAGTATTTAATTACCGAATGCTCGCCCTTAAATTGCCCGGAATTAATGCGTGCGGTACAAATGAACAAAAAGGGTTAATTCTTAATAACCAGGTGGCGGCGGATGACACGCTTTGCGCCTTTTCAATCGAATTAAGGCCTTTCGGCCCGACGAGATTTCCAGTTTGTTTAAAGGTAATAAAACTCTGTCACGAATCCAACGGTATTCTTGGAGGAATCGTTTATAATTTACATGGAATTAGAAAATGTTGAGTTAAGGTTGTTGAGTGTCGGCTTTACTGTAACTGAAACGTCGTTTCTGTGATGAAGTGTCGTGTCGTTTAAGAAAAACGAGGTCTTTAACACCAAAGATTTATTTCTCATTTAACAACAACCCTTTAACCATATCTGAAATGTCTTCGTGACGAAGATTAGAATGTCATCAAGATAAATAGAAAACGAGCTCACTCATCCTAGTACTGCTTGGATAAAGCAGGACTAAGAACGAAATGCATTTTTTCAACCATCTTAGAGATTTTTTGTCAAGGTTTTCTGATTAGGTTCTAGATGAAGCAAACAGACGCGTGCTAGGAATAGTGACTTTAGCTACGAAATCAAATTGAATTTCTCTTTGGCACGGGAACACTGGAACGTTATAAATCAAAAGCGTTTCTTACAGGAATCGCTTATTATTCAGGGGAAATTACAAAATGTTGTGTCAAGTTTATGTTAAGCTTAACGAGTGTCGCAGTGGCGAAAAATAAAAATGATACTAACTTCTAACGGAACTCCTTTTGAAATGAGAGTTATGCACTATTGTAGTTCCCTAATTACCTCTGTCATGATACTATAACTAGCAACATCTTTGTCATTACGGTGTTATTAAATTTTCCTCGAAAATTGAAACATCCGCGTTATGTGTAGAGGCGTCTTTGTTTGACGATAAAAAGGCAGCGCGATGATTAGATAAGCAAACAATAAAGGCAGGTGGAAGTGCTTCCCTGCACAGAGATAGCCCCCGGTTATGGGGACTGAGGGACATCACATCTCTGAGAGGTAACTCGTTCTGTAAATGTGCCTCTGAATTGGATTCTCTCTCCGGAAGTTGGACCAACGTCATTCCGGAACTGGCATGGCGACTGGTCACGCGATTGATTTTGAATTTCCATATAAATCCGAACGCTTCCAGCTGAAGGCTACTTTTCAGCGCTTTTCTCGCTGTTGACTGAATTGTCAAGTGGAAATACACGCTAAACTTCCATAAAATCGTTTTAGTTATTTCCACCGACTTTTCCCCGACTCTCTTATCTAGCCTCCTCCACATAAATCAGCCTTTATTCGATCCTTGCTCTATTTTCATAACCGACACGGAAACGGGAGTAATCGGACAAGGAGTTAGCGCCAGTGACGGCAAAACGGGAAACTAGACATATCGACAAAAAGCGAATTAATTAATAATCCACAAAGCCTGACTGAAGCAGAATCTGGAATCGAACGAAGGTTACTTAAAACCCAGGCAACCAAAAATTATCACCCGAAATTGGAACATAAATTTAGGTACTTTATCGTACACGAGATAACAACTCTTGGCGCTATGGCAACAATCGCGAAATATCAAAATGTTTAATTTTCCGAATACAACAGGTCGAGTGAAACGAAACCGAAAATATTTCGCTTCTTTTTTCTGATACGTTGTAACATGTTTCGGTTTTCGCTCCATTGTGTTGTACATTTTGCCTTCATGGTGGAGTCTGCACGGATCGGCCGAGAAAACAACTTGTGACGGCGTACCCCCAAGCGACTGCTTTAACAACGCAAATAAAAGAAAATTAACGAAACAAACAGATTAATTTGGACGAGTTTGCTCGGCATTAATTTGAAAGTTTGCCAGCGTCGTGACGCCCGCGCTGCCTCTTGGAGGAGTTTCTCACCAGAAGTTTGTTTTGTTTTTATGTAAAGTTGCAATTCGTGTGAAACAAATTAAGTTGTACACTGGTTTTGGGTAAACTGTTGTCTTAATGTTAAAGCTGAACGTTCAATAAGCTCGAAAAGCTAACAATTTCATTCGACCGCTGCGAAAAACATAACCACTTCGGTAAAGGGTGGAGATAATTTGCTCTTTTGACATTAAGACAATGTTGACGCTCCGTAAGATGAGTTATTTAAGAAAACAATAGGCAACTCGTGAGTTACGAGGTATATCTTGAAATTTTGGGTAAGGAGACGAGGTATAGTTTACAAAGAAATACGTGAAGATACATCTTTTTGGAAACCAAATGTCCTTTGAAACCTTCATCTAGCGGACGAGAAATTTTGATATAAAGAAGTTGGTCTCGGCGTGAAGGTAAATTCCTGTGAAAAGTTGACACCAGCGCCATCGTCCGGATACTCGACGAACGCAATAAAGACGCAAGAATTAGTACGCGCTGTTGAAAAGCCGTTCCTGCTACGCCCGGAAAATTCCGGCATTTCCGGCCTACATGGTTTACGTACCGACGACAAGGTCACGTAGCGAATTTAAAATTCCACAGCGAAAATCCCCTTCAAGTTATCGAATGAAAATATGACACTCAACCCCCTTGACGTTAAACCGCACCTCGTTCAACAAATATTTTTACAAAGCGGCGGTTTCAGGAGCAAATTTCTGACGTGACTCGACGCCAACACTAAAATAATTAAAAAATGTCCACTTCAGGAAAACGGTCAGAAGGGAACAAAAGGCGTTGTGAACCAAATTAAAAACTAATTTTCTTTTGTGTGCAGGTTTGTGCGATGTAATAAAAACGATAAGGCGAACAGCCTCATCTTGGCTCTAAAACCACTTTTAAGTTTCCTTTTTACATCACGATAAAGACGTAAAAGCACGACAGCCTGTCGCTAAATCCATTCATTTAAAAATGTCGCCTCTTTTACTCGGGGCTTTTTGATTTTATAGGCTCGTTAGTTTATCGGTGCTTTCGCACGGGAAAGAGCCGATTCGGTCAAGGTGTTACGGCGGTGATCAATCAAGGTGTTCCATTTCAATAATTAAACTATTGGTTGCGGGGCGTTTTATTGATGATTTGTGCCGCTTTTATTGATACTAGTTCTGGCCTTTTTTGCCACTTAGTCGTTCGAAGTGGAGTGTACTTCAGCTAAAACGTTAAAACAAGTAAAAACGAAAATCGCTTCCTATGTTACATGCACAAAAAGCCGAAGTACTGTGAAAACAGTGTCAGTGGTATTATTGACTGCGCTTTTGCGTCACTTTGTCTTATTTCAGTTGAACTAACTTCAAGGTTGTCGCATTTCAACGTATTACCGTATAAAAATCTTACTAAATCATGCTGTACGTTGGGAGGGGCGCGAGCTTCGCTCGCTCCATTTCCTGGTCTCGCAAATTATTATATCGTCTCATCCTATTTCCGTTTGGTTTTCCCGACATCCGACTCGGCCAAGTTGTCATAATTTAGCGCAGATCCTTGTCCAGGAGTCTGAAAGGCTCACGGAATCCCGTTCGGTAAAAACGGGAAGGTGTGCCCGGTGAGAAGAGAGAGCCAGCAATTACCGCCCCCAAGTGTTGTAAGAATTTACGGTCATTTCATGAACACGAATTCGCCGTTCACGGAGCTGTTATGTTAATGACGACAAAAAGGTTGCACGGGCGGGTCGCGCCCGCTTTTCTGACATACGGCGGCGACACTTCGTGGTGAAACTGTACAATTTATGATAGGTATAGGAGAGCTCCGTCGAAAAAGTTGGCTTTTCCGATTTGCATACATAGTACCGTGGTTTATAGTAGCTGCGCCGTCCACTGTTTGAAATATGTCACGACCTGATTGTAACCTAACCGCAAGAGGGAAAAATCGAGCCGATATTTTAACAGGGCGATATTGCCTCCGGCTCGGAAATACGACACACGTTTTAAAATCGCAAGCGAGATTTACATCGCACCGGTACGATTACGCCGGTACGCAAGTCTCGCGAGCGACCTCTGCATTTGCATAGAATAAGCGAAATATTCCTGCATCGGCCTCGCGGAGCTTTTTATAGTCCCTCGACAAAATAAAAACGATAAAAGTTAGGGGTTTTATTGTTTTTATTCTTGACGGAGATGCCCGAGCAAACTTCAAATCTATCTAATAAATTCACATGAGCGAGGGTCGTATATTTCACATTGTGCCGTGGACGATGTTGTTTTTGGGGCGAGGGGTCCGACCGGAACAGCCCGGCTACGGGGTTAAACACCCGGAACAATCTCTTTTAGTTTTGCGGTTTTCTGCGGATGAACGCGGGTC